GCTTCCGCGCGCGGAGGCGGGCGCAGAGGCGGGGCTCGGTGTCCAAACCAGCGTTTAATAAGTTAAAAACAAACACACAAGGAAGGGACGCGATCCCCCTGCCCGCGCCCCGGGCGTCCCACCTGCCCCCCTCCAGGGCCTCTGCTCCCTCCTGGGGCTGGACTGGGCTGGGACCTGGCCCCGCTCCCTGCCCTCGTGGGGGAGCTGGGCTGGGGCTGCTCCACCAGGATCCTCCAGGGAAATGCAAGGGGCCCTGAGGCTGCTTTTACCTGACACCTGCCTCTCCTGGATCCTGGCCCCCTCTCTCCAGCTTGGAGCCCCCCTTCCCCTTCTCACACCTCCAGCCCCAAGGTGATGGTTTGAATCCCTCTGCTCCCTCTCTTGCCCCTACTCCCCTACCCCAGCCTGGCCTCCTCTGCCCACCCCGGATCCCACTCTTGGCCTGTCTTTGCCCCAAAGACATTCTTGGCAGCTGCAAGGGCAACAGGATTCACTCACACACGCACACCCATGCACACATGCAGACAGCACCAGGCCAAGAGCCTGTGGTGATCTCCACCTTCTCCTACAGTCTCTATCCGACCTTCGTGGAAGAGCTGCCTCTGCTCTTCCAGGGACTGTCCCAGCCCTCTGTGTCACCGCCCCAGCCACATCCCTCCCAGCCCTGGCTTCTTGGGATCTGCCTGGCCCTGAAGGGGAGACAGGGCAAGCCCCGTGAGGATGGTGCCCAGCTTCCCTAGGGCTTTTAACACAGCCCCGTGGCAGGGGACACCCCCTCATTTAGGGGCAGGGAGGAGAGGGTGACCCACAGTGCTGCACAGAGCCTGCCCCTGCCTGGGGACATCATCCAGTGCCTGCCTGGCCAGGAGGGCGAGGGGAGGAGAGCAGCACCTTCGACCCTCAGCCTCTTCCACACTCCCAGCAACAATGAATACGAACCCTTCTGTACTTCCAGCTCCCCCGCCCAGGGCCTGGCCCAGGCAGCCTCATCCCAAGACCCTCTTCCAGGCTGAGCTCCGAGCTTAGAGCAGCACTGGCAAGACCTGGCCATGTCTCTGGAGCACAGGGGCTGCTCCCCAGCCCCAGCTGGCAAAGCCCCTGGAAATCCCAGCGCTGCCCCAGGGCTCAGCTCCACTATCCATGGTGCAGAGAAGGACGGAGCCAGTGAGCAGGGCGATACTTCAAGGTGGCGCCTGCTCTCCGGCCCTTTACACGTCTCGCTCTGAAGCGTTGTCTGGATGCTCCCCAGCAGCCCTGGGCGACACAGGTCAGGCAGCTCTGTGCTCAGACCCAGGGTGAATAGCAAGGGTTCCTTGGCATCTCCGTGAAGGATTTCAGTTCATAGGGGATCCCCGAGTCGACCTCAATTGACTTGCGGGAGAAGAGCAGCCGGATGTTGTCATGAAGATAGATCTTCCCCGACTTGGAGCTATGAAACCTGAGTGGGGAGGAAAGCAGAGGAACCTCAGACTTGCAAGCAAGGACATGGCAACCTCAAAGGGACCCAGTAGGAGCAGAGCAGGGCAGGGGACACAACTCCAACTCAGGAAGCTTCTTCCCACCATCTCCCTTGCCTATTTCTGTTCCTGGTCAAAGTGGCCACCACTCTGCCTGCCTCCTGAGGGACAGAGACCACTGCCCTAGGGCAGGACAGCAGCTCTAATCTCTCCGTAGCCCGTCTAGTGCAGATGGCCACCATTCCCTGCTCTTCCCCAGGGCTACCAAGTCAGGTCATCCTCCCATGATAGTGGCAGGACTATTTTAGGAGGATGCAAGAGAGAGGAGCCTGGGAGTCCAGCAGCGACCCCAGACCAGTTGTCTGTCCCTCCCAGCCTGCCCTACCTCAGGTGCATCAGATAGCAGAGGACCCTTTGGAGTGGGCCAGTGCCTGGTGGGTTGTTGGAGGCCGTGGCAGCCCCCTCCTCTTCCCCCACAGGCACCAGGAAGATGCGGTGGCGCAGGAAGGTCATGTGGTTGGCCGGCATGTCCTGGAAGTCGTATGTCACCAAGAACATCTTCACCACAGTCTTGTTGGGGTTAAATAAGGTCTGGGAGCAGAGATTGGAGAAGGGGAAGAGTCAGATTAGGAAGTGCCCAGGACATGAAATCTACCCCCATGCTCCCATTTTATCCCCATGGCACCCACATGCTCTGTTGTGGAGACCCCAGCCCCTCCTCATGATCCTTATGTCTCCCACCCCCTTGCCTCCCTGCCAGCTCCCTGGGGACCCCATACTTCCCTTCATAGTGCTCTCTTGGTGGCCCTACACATGCTCTGCCCAGATCTTTAGCTGTCGCCCCACCAGAACAACAGAACAGAGCAGTTCCTTCCCAGGGCTGCTCCAACACACAACACAACAGGAGCCCGCCCAGACCTCTGCATGACACTGCCAGAGGCCAGGGGATGACTCACCACTTGGATGGTTCCAGCTTTGGGGACACTGTAACCCTTCTTTCCCAAGGCCTCCAAATCGATCACTCCCTGGGCAAAAGAAACAGCACGTGAGAGAGGGCAGAGGCCAATGGAGAGCCTAACTGGGTGCTGCTATGGGGCCCAGAGCCCTTCTCACCAGCGCACGGTGGGACAAGGCAAGCGGGGACAGGCTGCAAGAGGGTGCTCAGCTCAGTCTCTCTCTGAACCAGGGAGAGGAACAAGCAGCAACCCAGAGGCGATGGCAGAGGACACCCAGTGCCTGGATATGGCCCTTGCTAATGTTCCCCCCCAGCCAAGCCCAGCCCTTCCTCACTGGCGTACCAGGAAAGGCGAGGGCGCGCTGTGTTCAGAGATGTCAAAGTAGGTGACGTCGACGGGCAGGGTGGCATGCTGGGGGCAATAGGAGCCGCTGGCTCCAATCTCTGCTGTGAAACCCTCGATCCTCCCTGACGGTGCAAAGCAGCCTTTCAGGATGGACTCCTGAGAGAGGAGGGAAGCGTTACAGAGTTACGGACCTTCAAATGCCAGGCTTGCCCCTCAACACCAAACTATATTGGAAATTGCATCCATTTCCACCATGAGCACACCTGGCTGTCCTCACACAGCTCTGGGCTCTCCCGGGACTGCCTGTGAGGCACCTGTTTCTGAGATGGGCTCTACCTTTGAATAGGGGGGCTGAAACCAGCCACCTAACGCCAAGAACAAGTGCGAGCATCCTAACCTGGCTGGTCTGCAGCAGCCTTCTCCCCAGGGCCTGGGGGACAAGTTCAGCGCACAGCACTGTGCCAGGATGTGCTTGAGTGAGCTGTCCTGC